ACACCGGCACAGCTCCGCTTGGGAATTGGGAACTCGTCTCCGGCCAGCTGTTTAATTTTTAGTTTTTAAATGAAGTATTTAAAAAAAATTGCCTAATTAATTTCCTATAAAAACAAATTAATATAGACATGAGTTGCTTAGCTGAAATAACCAGGGAAATGAAAGCTGGCTGGAGAGCTCCTTGTGGGCCTGTATAGGACATTTTTGTATTTGCAGGGCTCCAAGGAATTCATGCTTTCTGGGCACCCGTAATCAGACAGCTGCAGGAGGGCTTGTGCAGGCTGTGCTTTTGCTGCCGTGAGGAGGTGTTTTCTAGTGCAATGACTACCTCAATGTCAACAAGACCCTTTAGTTTTAACTTTGATGTAGTCAAGGTAAAGTCAAAATGTGTTTGAGGTGGAGGAGTGGGGAAGGGACTTGGTGTAGCGAGAGGATGCTAAAAGTGTACATGAGCTGAAAAAGCAAGCTGATAAATTTGGGACAGAAAAATGTTAGGGTATTAAATACAGAGCTACAGCCTGGCTCAGGGAGTGCATGATCCAGGAATCTCTGGAGGTTGGGAGGGTATTCTGGAAAAGTATTGCTGTGTTGTGCTCTATTCTTATTCTCTTTTTTAAGCATCTGCTCTTTAAGTGTACACTCTTCTTTAAACATCTCATCTACCGTGCTCACTGGACCTTTGCCATGACCCACTACACTGTGCTGTGTTATTAAGGTAAAGATACGTGATGTTCATGTTGCTATTCTGCTGAGGAAACTGGCCTTCTTTCACAGAAGAGCCTGAAATTCTTTGAAGAGCATCGTGTCGAAGGGCTGTGCCTGCATACTGCTGTCAGCGGGCGCTAGATATGGAATGTGCCAACATGGCACATCGCAGTCACTGGTTGTAGTTGGTGCCGAAGATTGTGGTTGTTAGAACGTGGATCAGGAGTACACCCAGAAACACCTCCTGCTGCTGTTCTGCTGCTGCTTTGGGAAGGCGTGCCTGCTGCAGGGTCCTCAGCTGTGTGGCTTGGTGGGGTGGAAAGGTGCCCACCTCTACCCAGCCTGTGCCTGGGGGCCATGCTGCCACACAGCCAGCTGCAGCCCGCCTTCATCCTCCAGGCCAAGTGGGGACTGTCCAGCGGGAGGGATCCTGCTCGCTTTGCTCTCTTGTGGTCACTCTGCAGGGCTGCGGGGCCAAGTCAGCAGCGTGACCCTGCTGCTCTTCCCTTCGCTCAGACCCTACCAGCAGACTTCTCCCTTGCAGGCCGAAGTCACGTTCTCAAGTGCCCTGTTCTCTGGCTGCAGTCTCATCATGGAGAGAGCAGAAGGAGTGCTACGTCAGAGCTGCAGGCGGAGATGTGCTCAGTTATGCATCCTCCGAAATGCTCCTGGCTCCATGCGAACGTTGGCTCGCTGCGGGGCAGCGCTCCTTCCTTGCAGCGCTCCCCTTAGCTTCTGTGCCAAGGGCAGCCAGGTGGACTCAGATTTAATGAGGTTTTGTTTCACATGACTTCCTCCATCACAGGGAACAAACAGGTGGAGGGGTTTTTAAAGCAGGTCATAGAGTATCGATAAGAGCTATCTTTTAATTCTTAATTCAAGTAACAAGCAGAATCTTGGAGTGGGAAGTTTTCTTTCTGTAACACTGAGTACTTGTGCTTCTCCTTTATTCTGTATGCAGTGTACTTACAGCAGGGCCAAGAGCTGTGGATTTCTCTTGCTCTCTGACTGCTAGACTGGCTGCTTCTGCCCTTTGCTAGCTTGTTGAGAGGAGCAGAGGACAGGGAGGGGTTGGCTTGGCTTGGTAAGTGCTAACTGGAGCATTTTTGAGAGAGAATACAGTGGAGGCTGACTGCAAGAAAGGGATGTTTCACCACAGCCGTAGAAATGACTCCCTAGGCTGGCGTGGTTTTGCTATCTTAGTCTTTCTGATTAGGCCAATTCCACCGTACTTCTTGTCCTGTACAGAGATAAGAGGGAGGATGCTTCATGCCTTCCAGATACTGGTGCCATTTCTCTGGCATCGTTCCTGTGGCCATGCAAGATACTCCTTTCCCTCTAGTCCTGCTAGTGCTCCTGTTTCCACCTCAGCAGACTGTGGCCAGCAGTCCCATGTCGTTCTTGTTTCCTTCTCTGAGGCAGTTGTGTCAAACCACACCAGGCGTTTTTCAGAGGCGAAGGTGCAAAGGCACCTGCAATGCCAGTTTACATCAGAGGGAGCAGCAGATACCCAATGCTGCCAAAAGAAAATGCTCCTGTAAGTATTTTAGGGAATAATCTGTCTGAAGACTATTTTGGGATATGATGGATCTCTAGTCTGTGTTGTGTTTTCCTTCTCTCTTTGCAGATGCTGCTGAGGGAATGGTGGAGAACAGAAAGCGTATGCTGAGTAACAAGAGGCAAAAGAGCATGACATTGCTTGTTTTTGTTCAGTCGTGCTGAGAAAAGCGCACTGTGGCATGAGGCTGGAGAATGTGTTTAGGTCCCTCCTGAGAAAAATGCTTAGCTGATGTGCTCTACTCTGACTTGCCTTCAGCTCTGTTAGAGCAGATAAAGCTCTGCGGAGGACGGGCAGATGTATTCAGCACTGCTTTCCACCCTGAAAGCACAGCTGCTGGCAAAGTAAACTCCTCTGCCCTGGCCCTGGTATGGGGCTCATCTCCAGCTCTACGTTTTATGCTAAACATCCCACAGCTGCCAAGCGCTGGTCACATCGGTCTGGATGAGTGCTTCAGCCTCACCAGTGGACGCTGAGTGTGTGGGCTGTGCTATTCTTTAGGTGTGCATGAGTGGGTGGGAAGAGTACGTGGTATATCTGAAGCGTAATGTAATATATGCCTTTGGGGGGGGGGGGGATGTAATCCTGTTAGCAACACGTCACAGGCTTGGAAAATCTCTGGAAAATCCCAGGTCATCCGTTCTGTGTGAAATTGTATGTTCTCTCTGCTTCCAATGCTGGCCCGGAGGCGGGAGGCTCTGTATTCTTTAGCTGTTAATGCTTGATTGCTCGCCTGTGTGTGAGCTGCTGTGGGACGTGTGCGGGGACTGTGTTCTCTCCTCGCTTGAGATCGTGAAGAAGATGAAAAGAGCAGAAGATGTTCTGGGGCAAAATGGAAATGCAAACCCACAGCATGCGTGGTGCTGAGCAGAGCAGGGAAAGTAGTAGGTAAATCGAAGATGTCAGGGTTCAAGGATTTCTTTTAGAGATGATCCCTTTCAAAAGCAATCACCTTATCTAATGTAGTACAGGTTTAAAAAATTGTGTGACACTTCTGTCTGTGCTTCCTATCTTAACCCTCGTTCTCTGCCAAACCTTCCCTGCAGCCTCCCCTCTCCTGCATGCCTCACTTTGCTGTACAGTTGAACTGTGCTGCTGAGCATTATGCTGAATTGTTAAGAGCCTTCACCCTTTTTGTACATTTGTTCCCTTGCACTGAAAGAAATCTGTGCTTTGTGTGGAATTCCACCTCTTCTCTCCTGCCTGTTGTAAGTGCTGAGTTTTCAGACTCTCCAGAAAGTGGATGGTCACAGAGGAGGGAACTGGTTCATTGTTTTAACCGTTTTGGCTTTCAAGGCTGACGCGGGGTTTGGCAGGAGATAGCTGTCAGTTCTCTAGCATGGGTTAGTGTTTCTGTGCCGGGGGGTGAGTGCAGCATGTGTGGCACATGTGAGCTCAGCACAGGGAGAGAGAGATTGATTTGCACAAGTGTGTGCCTGCCTGTGTAAGAGGGCCAAGGCCATGCAGCCTGTGATGCCTCCGTGCCTGGCGCAGAAGCAGAAAGCGCTGTGTGTCGGCAGTAGATAGCAAGTGTAGGTGCAGCACGCTGAACCATGGGCACTGCTGGGGTAAGTGTGCTGTGGATTGAGACTGGAAAATGTGTTTTCTTGGGAACTGCTGCACAGTTGGCAGGTGGTATACCTTGCCTGCTATTGTATCTGATTTGTGTTTGCCAAACAGCATTGAACACGTTATCTCTGCCCAGCAGGTATGGTTTCAAAGCTGGCAAGTGTCTGTTCTGGGGAAGGTAAGTATTAATACCTGGAAATCTGTGCATTAGGGCTTGGGAGACACTTGCTCTGCTGAAGAGCAAATCCAGCTGGAGAAAAGCTCAGTACATCAAGACTGGTTTTGCTTCCACCAAAATCTTTTGTCTGTGTCTGTCCCTTGGTGCTTTCTGTTCATCTGAGCTGCTGGTGGGCCTCAGAACTGCTTAGCTGCAAGGTCTCTTTTGGGGATGTGTTTCTCCCATGAGCACGTGGAAGTTGTTCCTTGCTGCCTTTACGGATCAGTCCACAGTGAAATTGTCATTGAACACAAGGAATCACTGGTGTGACCATGCTGATTACAGGAGCTGCAGTAGGAGATCTGCTGCAAGAGGTGCTGTCTTAAACATCAGAGAATGCAAACAAGCTGCTATTGTAGGCTGTAGTTATAAATATCAGGCTATTATGGAGGCAGTTTTAATGAACGGAATGACTTGCCACTATTCATGCTGATTGTTGCGTGGGTTTTTGTTTGTTACCCCATTAAGAGTTAAAAAAAAAAAAAGCAACTGTCACTTCTTTGTGTTCCTTAGAGTGGCTTTCTTTGTCAGTACTGCAGCGTTGGGGCTCTAGAGGTGATGGGCAGATTATTCTTACAAACTAACGCTTTTCTCTAGTTTGAAATGAAAAATCAGAACTGACAAAGAGTCTCTGGCTTTTTTTCAGAGTACCATAAAATATAAACTTCCAGCCTTGTCTTCAAGATATTTGAAGGCATTGGCTTATATTTTAGGAGGATGATGGTATGTTTTTATTGCTGTCTGTGGGCGAGAGTCTGTCTGCTTCCACTGTGTGCGATGCCAGCAGATCACCTCTGTTTACTTGCCAGAAGAGTGGCCTTTCAGGATGGTTAATAAGGCTGTGCCATGTGCTGCCCGGTGCTTTTATGAGGGTGGAGTGGCAGCTGTGCTCAATGCTGGCATTTGCTTCTTACAGGTGTGATCCCTGCCTCTCCTCCCCAGCCTGGTGCCATGGCCGACACGATTTTTGGCAGCGGGACTGGCCAGTGGGTGTGCCCCAACGACCGGCAGCTGGCACTGCGTGCCAAGTGAGTCCTTGCCACCCTCCTTTCCTCCTTCCAGCCTCAGCCCTGGCCTGGTATCTATGTGGAGCACTGGCCCACCAGCCTCGTCCCCAGCCTGGCTGGGAGGCAGGAGTTTGCCTGTCACACAGACCCCTCTGTATCCTAGAAGTGTGCTGCTGGGGTGGGACAGGAGCCTGCTAAGCTGGGGCTCGGTGCTTGGCTGCTGCTTGGAGCTGCCAGCCTGCAGTGGAGTTTGCAGCATGGCTGGTGTGTGGTGGGAGTCCATCCCACCAGCCCTCCCCTGAGTGAAAGGAAGGGCTTGGAGGCAGGCTTGTATCTCTCTCTGCAGCACCCTAAATATAATTGATAGCATTCCCCAGCTGCCAGCACTCTTGTTTTAGGAACTTGTCATTTGATCTTGTTTTCCCCTGAAGTTAAATTACTGCATAACCTGAAGACAAAAGGGATGGAGATGAGTCAAGCGCTAGAATTGCATTTGTTTTTTGGATGCTTTCCTTCCCTGCTGCTGTCACCTCTGCTCCTGTCTGAACCTCTGGGGTCAGCCTGCTGCAGAGTATTAGAAAACAGGAGGTTGCCCTGTGTCTGAGGGGACTGCGTGATTGTGAGCAGTGCACACCACTGCCACTTCTCAAGCCTTCACCTGAAAGCCTCATTGAGACATCTGTGTCTGATAGTGCCCTGCATTCTGCTAGCAGCCGTGACTTTATCCAGTGACCTCTAAACCCCTACTGAATGGTAATTAATTGAGCTGTGAAAGCTCCTGCCTGTCCCCAAGTGAGCTAAGGAGAGATGTCAGCTGCTGTATGTGAGGCACAGAGGGAAATAGCTTGCTAAAGTCCTCGTCTGGGCCTGGGTTAGATCAAGGGAGGAAGTTGCCAAATTTGTATTTCCAAGTGTGCCTGGTGATGTGTGTGTTTGAACTGAGGACCTTAGAAACGTGTGATCTGGAGGGAGGAGGGTGCGGGTAATCTCTGTTCAGGAGTCTGCTGTTGGCATTTCTGGTGTGTGGCATCAGCACCCATCTCTGCAAGGTACCCCCAGGACAGCCAGCCTAGGTGTGCTAGTTTTCTTTATGGGCAGAGCCAAACAGGAGTGAGCACATGGAGGGGTAAAACTCAAGCCGGAGCAGAAAGGGAAATGAGAGGGCAGCGCAGCACTCAGTGCTGCTGGAGGAGCGATGTGGTGATCTGGTCAGTGAGAAGAGACTCCTGCTTTGGGTGTTAGCGAGGGAACAGACTTCTCTGGTGGAAGACTGACGTGGGCTCTGTGTGCCTGGCAGGTTTGGCCTGTGCAGCAGAGAGGGGTTTTGTGCTTTCCTTTCAGCAGCATAATTCTTCCCTCCACCCCCTCCCACAGGCTCCAGACGGGCTGGTCGGTGCACACGTTCCAGACTGAGAAGCAGAGGAAGATGCAGGCTCTAAGCCCGCAGGAACTTGAGGTCATTCTGGAAGTCATCCGCAAGGCGGAGAAATTGGACATCATTGAGCAGCAGCGCATCGGGTACAGTCACGTTCATTTGTCCCCTTCCCTCAGAAGGAAAGGTCAGCGCAGACAGAGGAGTGGCTCTCCTGGCTGCCTGAGCTCAGCCTCCATCAGTCAGAGCATCCCTTAGGTCAGTTATTGTCCCCTCCCATGTTGCTTGTTTGGAGGCGATGAACATAGGATGTGTTGTTTTCCTTCTCTCCATGTCTCAAGCCTTTCTCCTGCCTTCCTTGAGCTTTGGGGCTTGCTGTGGTTGCAGCCACTGACACAGTCCCTGGTAAATACAACCTGTGCTAGGGCAGTTGCCCCAGTGGCTCTGGAAGAGGCTAGGGAGGATGCCAAGCTGTGCAGCTACACTCACTGCTAGTGGACAGCATGGCTCAGAAACCGCTGCTGGCAGCACAGTTAGGTTTTCCCTTGTCTGCAGCAGCCCCCTGGGATTTTTGCCTGGAGCATTGAATGAGTTTGTTCTAGTTGGCCGAGCCCTCTGGAAGGGGTTTGCTAGCTTGAGTTATTTAATTTACGGGCGTCCTTTTGCTGCTGCAGATTTCCATTTGCTTTCTGTCCTGACCTCGGCTGTGTCTGTGGTCATCCTACCCTGGCTGCCTTTAAAGCCAGGGAGCTGGGCGGTCCTGCAGCATTTCCCAGCAGTGTTTCATGTTTGTGAGACGGGAAACCCCAGTGACTCCCAGCCCATGTCCAGCAGGCCCAGCTCCCTGCCCCTGCCCTTCACTCTGTCCCTGTGCAGTGCACATTAGTGAGGGCTAACGAGAACTGACAGTGATGTTTATGTGATGCACGAGAGACCCCAGCAGCAGCCACCGACCCCAAGGGGCTGATCGTTCCTGTGCAGTTGTTGGGTGTAGCTGCAGAAGGCTATAGCCTTGCTGCTCCTGTGCTGAAGCATTCTCTGAAATGCCTTTGTTAACTCCTGGGAGTTCTCTTGTGCTGAAATCAAGGATCATAAATCCACTAATGATGGCTCAGCCTGGCTGTGCTGCCTGACCTCATCACCATAGGCAGCACCTCTTTCAAACAGACCTTGCCGCCTTCTCAGTACGGGACTTGGTTGATGGGACATTAGTGCTAATGAGCGTGGGGTTGCAGGGAGAGCAGGATGGCGTTTCCTCCCCGAGCTGCATGCAGGCGAGTGGCTGCGGCCGGTCGCTGCCTCTGATAAATGGCCTGGCTGTTACTGTCCCTATCTACAAATGGATGCCGGGCAGTGATCTCAAGACAGCAGCCTTGCTCTGCATGCTCTCCGCGTCCTGCATCCTAATTGCCTATCCTGCCTTCTTCCCTTTCGTAGTCCTGCTGCTATGGACATTGTGCATACATATGTGCTTCCTGTCTTCCAAGCGGGCTGTCGAACGAGGCGGCGAGCAGTTACTGACATTCCTGTGCTGCAGCCGGGCTCATTTTGGTCTGATGACTTCAGCCTGGCCTTCCTGCTTCTAATGGGATGTGGGCAAGTCATGTGCCTGCAGTGCTGCTTTCAGGGAGTGTATGTAAAAAGGGAGCAGGGCTTGGCAGGTCTAACTCCTCTGCCCTTTCCCGGTGCTGTCTGACTTGCCCTGAAGTGAGCACTAAAGGCTTTCCCTGCTCTACAGGCAGGAAATCATTGTGCTGAGACTGTGTGGCCCCAGTGACACTGCACTTCTGAAGGGTGTTGGATCAAGCCTTTCTTGTGAGTTGTCTGCCCTGCACCCCACTAGCTGAGTCAGGCTTCTCAGCTGTAGTGTCAGTAGACGTGGTGAGTGTCAGTACATGTACTTAGAGGGGTTTGTATCCCCTGAAGATCAAGAGCCAGCTGATAGGAAACACTGAGTGCAGAGGCTGAATTGAAAGTACATATGGTCCCAGCAAGGGGCCCAGAACGGCACGGAGGAAGCAAAGGTAGGCTGAGACTGGAGCTCATGTCTGCGAGTTTTCGGCATGCCTCGGTGCCATATGCTTCAGTTTCCAAGGTGAGTGCTGTGACCCCTGCTCTACCTCTTCCCCCGTAGGCGCCTGGTGGAGCGGCTGGAGAACATGAGAAAAAACGCGATGGGGAACGGCCTCTCGCAGTGTCTGCTCTGTGGTGAACTGCTGGGGCTGCTGGGTAGCATGTCGGTCTTTTGTCAGGATTGCAAAAAGGTGGGTTTGGTCACACAGGTTCCTGCCTGTTTCTGGTAGCAGATCTGTCTAGGAAGGGCCACCAGGCCTCTTGGAAGCTAGATAGCTCTGCAGAGATAACTTATCTTAGCCTCACTTGTCGGTGCTGTCGGACCATCAGGCTTTCTTGTGCACGCTGGTTATCCTATTGCCTAAACTGCACTTACTGCTGAGATGGGGTGCATCAGCCCCCTCTGCATCTCCCACTCTGGATTCGCAGAGTGGGAGAGGGAGCAGAAATGTATGGCCATCAGAGGCAACTCGTAAAAAAAGTCTGTGTGTTTTACTGTTATTTACTGCAAGGTCTGCCCTTAGGCCTTCCAGTAATGCCTCTCTTCAGAGGACTCACGTCCATCGTCAAGTTCCAAACCAGTGGAAGGTTTCCAGCCCTGATACATAAATTTGCCGGTGCATCGATGACCGCCTGTGTTTGTGTGTGGTGTTGGCAGGACTGCACAGGTGCTGTTCGAAAGGCAGCATCGGTTTTCAGGGATACTGCCGTTACGCCAGCGCTCTGGGGAACGACTGTTGCTTGCCTAGACTCTGCAGCCAAGGGGTTAATCTGTACTGCGGTGGAGATGAGGATCTCCAAGGCAACCACCTTATCCTCCCTGTGCTGGGAGGCTGTTTTTCCTGCACTTGAAGCCCATCTTTCCCTGGGGAGATACCTCTGTAAGTGACTTTGCCTCGGAGTGTTGCCTGTGGAGAGGTGAGGGTACCTGCTGGGTGCAGGAGTGTTTCTGACTTGCTGGCGGTAGGGTGGAAGGAAGAAGTCTGTGCTGACCCTGTCCTGCTGGGTACCAGAGCTAAGGAGACACTTGCTGATGTCACCCACCCTGTCACGGAGGACGTGTCTGGTGGAGCACACAGGACAGCACTGAGTAAAGCCTGCTCCTTTACCGTGGAGTGGTGCGCGTTGGCACCTCTGTGGTTGAGCAGCCATGCAGGCCATGACAGAGAACCTTTCGTGCTGGCACTGCTGGAGTTTGTGAGATGCAGTTCTCATGCAGAGCAGGCTGCCAGGCTGGGCCTGCACAGGTCCACAGCTGGCTTCAGCACTGCTGGGTTTAGAGGTCTTGTAAGAGAGGGAAGGGAGGTGGGTGCCCCTTGCAGTCAGAACTGGGGTCCCGGCATCCCTCCGTACGTGCTTCCTGGGCAGGGAGCTGCTGTGAGCTGTGCTGCCTTTGTCGAGTGAGTTTCTCCACTGGATCCAGTTTGCAGAAGTAGCTTGACTGAGGCAGGGGTTATGCAGAAGATTGCTTGTAATGCAGTGACTGGGAAAGTAGACGCAAATCTTTGAATCCCTGGGTCCTAAGCCGGGGAGAAAGTAGCTTGTTAGGAAGGGGTGGGGAAGGAAGCAGCAGTAAGGTACTGGGAAGTGGAAGGTCGGGTTTGAATGGGAGCTGTGGGGCAGGTCTCTTGGAGAGGAGCATGGGCTCTGCGGACACGCGCCTGTGGAGAATAAAGGGCTGGATGGCAGACAGGAGACGGCTGTTTCCTGCATTTCAAGCACGCAGAATAACAGGATGTGCTGTATTCTTGCCTTCTTCCCTTGGCGATTCTGCTCTCACCTTGTCCGAAGCCAGCTAGGTCACATCGCCACAGTGCTTCCTAACCTGCTTCCTGTGAGCCCTGTACACTGAAGGGGAGGCAAAAGCTGATTCGGACACTTCCCCTGCCCTGTCTGTTTGCAGTTGCAGGTAGTAATCCCCCAGCTAAGAAGGCTGCATGAGCCTGAGGCTCCGGGAGGGCTGTGACCAGAAAACTCCAGAGAAGGGCTGTTTGGTTTGGTTTGGTTTGGTTTTTTTTAATGGTTATTCCCTTTTTGTCTTCAGTAGGTTGGGCAGTTCAGGAGCATTCATATCCAGGTTGATTTAAGGGGAGACCCTACTTGCCCAGTGTGCATTTTGCAGCTGCTTTCAGCTTGGCTGCACTTTTCAGCTGCGTGTGAGCTCAGGGTAACGCTGACTGGTGGGCTTACTGCTTTTTAATACTGTGGAGTGAAGTCAGGGAACAGTCAACCCTTCAGCAGAGTACACAGACTGGATTGTTACTTTAAGCTTGTTCCCTCTCTTCCAGGGATATCCATCACTCATGCAGTGCTATATGCAATAAACAATTACTTGTCAGGGAATTATGGATTTTTAAAGTTCGTATTTTTCTTGCTAGCATTGCTCTGTTACCATCTCATTGCAGCCCGTTTAATTCAATAACAGGAATTGATGTAATGATGTATCTGAAACACAGCAAAGGACTTACCTTCACTAAGTCCCTTCTGCTGAATAGAGGTTCTGTATTTCTTGGGGCCTGATGGATTTTCCAAGTGCCACTTTCTGTTTTATGAAGAATGTTTTTAATATTAGTTTTTATTATATTAGAAATAAATGCATTATGGCAAGACAAAGATGTATGTGAATCCAGATGTGTTAACAATAGCAGTAGTTAGACAAAGCGTGATGTGTCATTTACCATGCAGAGAGTATCAGTATCATATGTAAATGGTGAAGTAATTAGGAGAATAAAGTGCTTTATCTTCTATTTAATGAGAAATGGGGCTGCGTTTAATGTCCTCGATTTTTATGTCTTCTTCTGAAGGGGTTGTGAGTGATGCTTAATTTTCCAGCTAGTCTGCAGAGAAGGGGAGGAGGAAAGCCCCGTTTTATATCGGAACTTTCAAAATTTATGGCTAGGAATAAAATAGCTTGGAAGCTTCCACTAGAGGGAGTGTTTGAATGTGCAATACGTGTGGGGATTGGGATCTTTGAGGGTATTTAAGACCGAGTTGCTCCCTCTGATTTTGATTTGAGGGAGAGAGAATTTGGGGTACTTCAGGAGGTGTCTACTATTTCCACATGCAAGCCCTCTTGGCTTGGGTAGCACCATGTGGAGTACTGATGCACCAGACCCAATAGGTTGTTCCTTATTTCTCTGGGAAGATGAGGGCGAGGACAGGAACCAAGAGATGGAGAGAGGGGCACCAACCTTCATGGGGCTGCTGGTGATGCCTCCTACTTTCTGTGCAACATGAGTCAGGAACAGACCTGCCTCTGGACTACGATAACCAAAACAGTTGGATGCATTTATTCATATAATGAAGCCATTGCCTCAGATACCATCGTTCTTCTGCTCTCCTCCTCCAGATGTGGGCACTGAGGTCTGAGTGAGCCACTGAGACTTTTGCCCCTGGACACAGACCTCCTGGCTCAGAGAAGGAGCCGCCTGGCTAGGGGAATATGTAAAACCTTAGCTGGGGAGATTAAATTCACATGTCTCTCTAAGCAACGTTTTGCTCTGCAGGGCCCTCTTGTGAGTGGCTTTTGCTCTGTGAGGATCAAAGAATTCATCCAATTTCTCAAACTGTTAAGCCAAGCCTGATACACATCACTTTCATTACACAATATTAGGTGATTCAGGTTGTAAAAGGCTTGTAATGCCAGCAGAGACATGAAAGTTCCCTTGTGCAGCAACAGAGGCCGTGCGGCGCTATCAAGCATTCTGCTCAGGAAGAGCGCACGTAGGCACGGCTGTGCCCACTTCCTAAGCAGCCACGAATCAATAGCTGCCGAGCGTGTGCTGAAATGGAGAGGAAGCCGCAGGGTTTAAGACTACATATGTGAAGGAAGGGAGGAGAGGATTTCCAGTCTTGCACAAACCCGCACTTGTTTTGTACTTGGTTGCCGTTGCTTTCCATGCCACAGTGATTGAGTTTTAGGATTTAGAGGAATAAAAAATCCGCTGTAGAAATATGCCTGTTGGTCATGGGGTTTGATTTGTCCAGTTCTCTTCTTGCCCTGCAGTCAAGGACTATGCTGGAGATTTGTTTTTGTCTCACATCCATATAGGTTGAAGCAGCTTCCTGCGATCAGTGGTTCTCCAGGAAAAATAAGAAAATTGTCCATGTTTAGATTTTTCAGGAAAGCAAACCAGAACTGTTGGGACAGACGCTTCTCCTCCTTCTCTCTCCCAAGGGCTATGTGGCTGTGGGGAGTTGCTAACGCCACCTTTTTTTTTTGTTTTATTTTTTTCTCTCTTCTTGTTTCAGAAAGTTTGCACCAAGTGTGGCATAGAAACCTTTGGAGCCCAGAAACGTCCTCTTTGGTTGTGCAAGATCTGCAGTGAACAGAGAGAGGTAAAATGCAACTGTGGAGAGATGGGG